GCTGGCTCCTGTCTAGCTGCAATTACGCCCCCTCTTATTAATACTCATACTGGTCTCCCTTCCACACAGTCCTCGGACCTGCGGACGCCCCTTCGTGTCTCAGAGCCCCTGCTCTGGCTGGTCCCCGTCCCTGGAAGGTCTGTCCCTCTGGTCAGAGCAGTGACTGGTCACTCTTCAGTCAGGTCTCATTTGAAACGTAACTATTTCAAATAGCAACTCCCCTACACACAACACAAACACACACACACACACACACACACACACACATCTCAAACTACCTCTCTACCCCAAAACGCTATTTATTTTCTTCACCGTTCCCCTCTCTCCTGGAATTTTCTTTTTATTTGTTCATGTATCTCTCCCTCCTGGAACACAAGCTTCATGGAAGCAGGGATGTTGTCTTGTTCACTACTACAGTTCCCATGCTGAGAAAGGTGCTGGAAGACAGTAGGTGGGCAAGATGCACCTGCCAAACAAATGAACATGCCAACTTCATCATGTAGCATGAAAAAGGTGCTCAAGTAATGCTAACTTTCATTTTCCCTCCCTTCCATTTTTTTTTTGTGTGTGTGCGTGTGTCATGGCTGAGAAATTGTAAAATGCTGTTGAAACTAAAGCTCCGATTTTCTCCTGTCCCCTGCCAACAGCACTGGTATTGCATGTGTATAAACTAGTCTGTGAGGTGATACCAGCCACTTGTAGTCTGAAACAGACAGGAAATGAGTATGAAGCCAGAATGGAAGGCACTGGTATCTATCTAGTCTTACCTAAATGGGATATTAATTTCAAGACTTTGTTTTTCTAAATGATCTAAATGATTTTGGATTTTCAGATCATTAGATGCCTCCATATCCAAAAGAAATCCTTTCCAGAATAAAATGTAAATGGTTCTCAGAGGATTGCCTGCTTGGGATTAGCTGTCTTGCTCTCTATTGTCATGCATTTTTCAAAGTTGGCTGCAAATGCAAACTTACAGATAAGTATAAAACAAAATTAACAGCTCACTTTTCCCCTGGCTACACACCCTGCATTACACAGATAGCAAAACCCACTGGCAGTGTTCCTCAGAGCTGATCCACATGGATGGGTTTTGCTCCTGATGCCGGGGTATATGACAATATGCTGGGACCTGTGGATATCTGTCTGAGTGGGTAGTTTTTATGGGAACTTATATGTGCAAATAAAATCTGTTATTTTCCAAATTAAAAATAAACCTCAAAGGCAATGGACTTCCAATGGCTTGGAGAGATTTATTAATAAAATAGGAAAGGATATAAAGGGATATCAAATTAAATGACATTTGGAATAAACATAAAATTTGGTTCCAGTGGTCTCCATTTTCATCTTAGTCACATTGCTTTCTCCGGTTTACTGAAAATGATCATAGATTCTTATCTTGAAGAGGCAAAACACAAAATAGACATTAATTCTTTTAGGATTAAATCTGTGCTTTTCTCATCCACTAGACTGTAGACAGGAACAGGAAAGTAGCTAAGAGAAAATGGTTTAAAAAATAAAAGGGAATTTGCATAAGGGAAGGAGGAATTTACTCATACTTTGGAAGTCAAAGAAAAACACTACAATCCTGTCAGCACCCGGAAGGCACCATTTACTATTTGTTGTCTCCTTCACTGCAAGAGGACACAGATTGTATTTTTAGTGCAGTAAACAGCAGATTCCACTGTGGGAATCCTTGCAGTTGGTACCGATAGCAACCTCATTTAAAATGTTATAAAGCTTAAAACATCAGGAATTTAGGCAGTTAGTCACATATACCTCCATGTAAATACTCAGCCACTAACACACGTACATGCTTGTCCACACATTGATAGTAGATTACGTGTAGTATTATATTACCCACTGAGTTTTATCATTGAGTCATGTTTGACAGCCATGGTAGAGAGCTGAGAAAAATCAAACATACCAGCATTGCCACCAGCAGCGAACACATATTTGTGCCTAAACAATATATCACACCACATGGTAGGCAACCACGTAAAAGTTCATCAAAAGAATGCTCTTATCATTTAAACATGGAACATCTGATTGACATTTTAGAGTTCCTATTTGTAACAGACGCTGTCTATGCCACACCCACAAATTTTTGGCACTCACTTTCACATACCAAATGCTGCCACTGCAAAAACCTATGACTGCTTTCTGAGAAAGTCTTTGGTGGCCACAGGAAAGAGCACACTTGGCCAATGTTCAGGGAAAGCCAAAAGGCTGGAGAGTTAATGTCCCCAGAAGTATCCTTCAGCCAACGATGAGCAAGGAATTGCAGTACAAATGCATTAGCTTCCTTGTGGGCTGGTTGGGAAGATACGGGGTCATGTTCCCTTAGTCTCCTAGAGCTCCCCAACAGACTGAGCTCCAGCTTTCACAGTGCTAACCGGTTTGATAACGTATCTTTTACTGACTTTATTTTTTTTAACCTGTCTTCCTTACTTCTCTACTGATGTTTTCTGGGGTCACCCACTACACAGACTACTTGGATTCTAAGCCTTGTATCAGGGTCTGCATCTGGACAACCCAAACTAAGACACTATCTTTAGTCCTTTTATTTTCTATTAGAATGAAATGTAATTTTCATTAAATACTCTGGGACACACGGTTTCCCCCATAGCATAAATACCTGTTACAGTGAGATAATTCTTCAATAGAAAAACTTACTATAGAAATCCATTTGAGTAGTTCTAAGGGGAAATGAAAAGGTAGCTGCAGATCTTTTTTATTTTTTCTTTTATTACTCCCCACATATTTTCTCAACATATAGATGTCCCTGAACTTCATTCTTCTGGCAAAAATGTATTTGTTATTATATTCAATAAATGTAACCCACATATCAAAAGGAATATTTACTCAGTATCTCCATGCACTCAGCACTGACTTTAAAACCTATATTGTAGTCCCCACAGCTTGTCACTCTATTGCACAGATAAGCTTTCAACATATGGAAAAATGTGAAATAAATATTAAAAAGTATAACTACTCAAGCATGAATTTTATGGTAATTAAAAGAATTCTATGTAGAAACAGCTGGAAATGCCAAATGCTACACTGTAGTAGCAGTTTAGATGGCAGAAAGGTAGAAACAAGTGAAAAGATATCTAGAGGCATCTGCATTTCAGGCTTCCATGTTACAGATAAATCCTTAAACCAGTTATCTTAAGGCCTCAATTGCTTCTGCCTGCTTTTGAAATGGCTTGGAACAGATAGTATTAATATTCTCCCTGGTTATACATGATTCACTCATTTGATCAGTCGACCCATGTTTGTTGAGCATTCCCCTACATTCACAGCAGTAAGCAGAACAAAATTCTTGCCCTCACCAAGTTTGCATTCTAAAAGGGGCAAGCAGCAAATCAGCAAGCAAGAAATTACATTTATAATATAATGTCAAGTAATAGGACTCTGACAAAAAATAAAGCAAGAATAGTAGGGCTAGAAAATGATGGCAGTGTGATTATTTTAGATAGGGTGGTCAAGAATGGCTTCTCTGAGGAGTCATTATTTGAACAGAGGGAACCAGCTCTCAAAGAAATGAGAATAAGGTATTCCAGGCAGAACAAAAAGACAGTGCAAAGACCCTAAGGTAGGGATAAGCTGATCATTTTTTAAAAAAAGAAGAAGACCAGGATGAGTCAGTAAAAGTGCTGTCATAAGAGATGAGGTTAAGGGAGCAGGCAGGAAGTAGGTGCTATAAACTTGTAGGCTTGGAGTGTAGAGTTCATTCTGAGTGGATGGAAAGACATTGGAATGTTAAAAAGATCACTCTGGCTAGGATATGAAGAACAGAATTCAGAAGTGGAAGACAGAAGACCAGCGAGGAGGCTGTTCCCTCATCAGGTGAAAGGTGATGATGGCTAGACTGGAGCAGTAGTGGTGGAGGGAATGAGAAGTTGGAGAATTTGGGTTAGGAGAAAGAAAAATAGAGGCGCTCTTGTAGCTGTTTAACTTAGATGACCTCACAAATGGTGGTACCAATTACTGAAGTAGGGACTACAGGCAAGAAGCAGGTTGTGGGTGGGAATGGAGATAAGGAACCAATTTGAGCCATATTGAGTCTGAGATGCCTATTATCCTTCTCAGTAGAGTCAGTTGAATATACTAGTCCAAATTTCAGGATCAAATCTGGGCTGTTGATATAAATTAAAATTCATCAGCATTAGACGGTGCTTCAGTCTTGGACCTGGGGAGCAAAATTAGAGAAAAAAGGAAAAAGATCTGAGGACACAGTCCTGGGACAGTCACACATTCAAAACTTAGAAAGGAGAAGAGGGGCCCGAAAAGAAGTCTGAAAAGAATCAACTAATGGGGTAGGAGAAAGCAGGAAAAATTCTTTATATTTGACTGCAGCAGCGTTGAGCTGAACTAAAAGGGGAACTCAGAGTCTCATTGCTGGTGGTAATAAAAAGACGATGATCTTTCCAGGGGTCCAGCTATAAAATTGATACAAAAAGGGGTTTTGGTGGTATTATCAAAAAGAAGAAGAAGGAGTTTTGAGCACAGCCTAGTTTGGCTGATAGATGGAACATGAAGAAAGGGGAGACAAACCACATGGCATCTACCCTACCACCCTCTCTCCAGAGTGAAAGCCTTTAATTCCTGGCAGAAGAGAAAGGCAGCCTAAGAATCCAGAGGAGCTAGATCCATGGCAAATGCTATGAATTGCCGAGCATGACAGCTATTTCAGACCTGGTGCCTAAGCTGGGCAGAGGATTGTTTTCCCACCTGTGCACAGACCAGGGTGTTTGGCATCTACACCTTTGACACAGGCACAAGCGATCTCACAGAGGGCACAGCATTAAGGTTGGGAGATCTCCCAATGACTCAGCATTACCGTGATACAGGTGAGCTGGCAGCTCATTAGCACAGACTCCGACTTCAGAACTCAGTTCCTCTCCAGGACATTTTGTTCCCACTGGACAGCACAGCCAAACCAGCTCCCTCTCGTGCACACTGCCTCTGCCACAGGCAGTGCGTTCGATACAACTGACCTGTGTTGAAGAAGGATACGGTCCATTCTGCATCCGTTTCAGGAAATACAGAAACTGGTGGAGGCAGACCCAAGGCTCTCCCATCCAGATCTTTAAAGAGATATTTTCTTGGACTTTCACAATCCGATTCAGGGCAGACTACTCTTTCTAAATCTTTCCTGTGAAGATAGATAGAAAATAATTTTCTCTTTCCATGATAAGCAGTAAAAAGAAAACATATATTGGTAGTGCTGATCTTGTATAAAATAAATTCAACAGGATTTTGTTATTAATACTGTGTTACACAGATAACTCTATATAAAAATAAGTTATTTCCCAGTTATATGGTCAAGAAGACAGACATTCTTATTAACCAAATATTCTGGATATCTGGATATATAATCTTTGTATAAATCGCTGATTTTCTAAGAAGCAAGATAACAATAAAATGTTCCTAACTCTAACATCTGCTGAACATAATTATTTCTTTATGGAACTTCAGGGCTTTTTAGTATTGTAAGATTATTATTATAACCATCAGTTATATTTGTGCTACATACAAAGTAAAAATAGTATTCTCATTCAACAATGGTGATTAAGATAAATATGGTTTCTGCACTTCCAAAATTTAGAGTCAAGTGGGATATATAAACAAGTAATAGTTAATTACAACATCAAATTATAGAGAATTTATTTTATTTCCCTGGTCTAATTCTTTTATGTACCATTAGTAATTTTATTAAATATTTATTGCATGTAGACCATGTATTAGGAATTAATATTACCAGTACAAAAAATCTGATGCTAGTATCATGTAATACTATGATTTGAATGATGGCGTCCCTTCAAGATTCATGTTGAAACTTAATCCCCAATGGAACAGTATTAAGAGATGCGGCCTTTTGGAGGTAAACAAATCATGAGGGCTCTCCACCCTCATGAATGGGATTAGTACCCTTATAAAAGGGCTTGAGGTTTTCTTCTGCCATGTGAGGATGGACTGTTCCTCCCCTCCAGAGGATACAGACACAAGGCTTCATCTTGGAAGCAGAAAATAGCCCTTCCCAGATACCAGTCCTGCCAGTGTCTCAATCTTGGACTCCCAGCCTCCAAAACAGTAAGAAATGAATTTCTGTTCTTTATAAATCATCGAGTCTGTGGTATTTTGTTACAACAACACAAAGACATGTAACTTTACAACTATTTCCGCCCATAGATAAGATATGAACATAAGGAAAGTCAGACAGTATAAGAAAAATGACAAAATAACACAAATTGTCTACCTAATAGTATTTGGGTACCTAAAATGGTTCAGGGATGGGCATCAAAAAGAGATTAATATTAGGTCAAACATGAACTTTCTAATGACAATGGTTCTTTAGATTCTTCTCTGTCAACTAAAGGAGTTTTCTCCAACGTTGTGGGAAAGAAAAAGTAACCCATTTTCCCTGCTTCTAACTTTCCTGCTCTCTTTTAAGGCAAAAAAAAACCAAAACAACAAAAAAAAACCTACCTATCTAGTTTCCAGATCCTTGAATAAAATCCTCAGATCAAACCCTGAATCCAAGAAGAATAGTTATACCTGGTCTGAGTGCCAATATCTGTCTAAGCCTCATCATTCAATTCAGAGATTCCTAACAGCAGACATGATCTCCTTCCCATCTACCTGGTCCCTGCCCAAAGACTCCCAAGGCCTCCTTCTGAAGATGACTGACACTGTATTCCTGGGAAGGGTGATGAGTTAGGGTCAATTTATTCCCAGTGATTTTAAAAACATACTGAAGTCTCTCTAATTAAAACCAAATAAATAAATAAATAAAACTTGCCCTCTATCCCTTCTGCCCCTTTTGTTAGCCAAAAATTGTCATGTGGCTGAATCTTGATTCAAGGGGAAAGAGAAATAGGCTCTACTTCTTTATTAAGACATTTTAAAAATCATGTATCAAAGGTCATGAATATAGGAGGGTTAAAGAATTGGAGTCATGGAGTCAATGTATTATAACATACCATCCTAAAAGGATTTATTTTTATTTCTTTAATGATTTTATTCTTTTTTTTAACATGTTTAGGAATTTGAAGAATTGTCAAATACTTCATAAGTATAGTTTATTATAAATACTAAAAGTAGTACCTGGGCTGTAATGGAGGAAAATAGAACTTGTTTTTATCTTTCATCTTTAGCATCTTGGTCCTCTCTGCTGTTATTGGGTGTATGATTCCAGTGTTTTCTATATTTGGCAGAATGCAGACATCCAGGTCATTGCTATAGCAACTTTTCACAAAACTAGAAAAGGTGACATCTGAAATTTTTTAAAAACATATCATATCACTATAACATGTAAACCACCATTCATAAACATAAAGTATACAACTAAATATTCTTATAATAATATATATTCAGGAGTTAGTTATAGCTATCCAGGATATTTTCAGGAGTTTACATAAATTTGGATATAAAATATCTGTAATTTTTCAATACATGGACATTGCATGGCAAAAGAGAAGAGCATTCCAACACATTAAATCCTTAAAAACCATACTTTTCATCAAAGGTTTAATCATAATCCATTCATTTTACTGAAAGACAAACCAATTGCCAGACAGAGTAAGTAAATGGGGAATGAGAACCATAGTGCAAAAGAGATCTGAAAATGAACTGAGATGAACTGAGAAGATGAACTGCATGGATTGTGGTATACCTTTGATTTTAACCCTAGGTACCCAATCAACTCCTAGGCAACCTGAGGTGAGGCACAATTTCTGCATCTCAGTTTCCTCAACTTTGAAATAAGAAAAATAACCACCCCTGAGAAAGTTGTCCTATAACCAAGTTAAACAATTGCTGTGGAAGTTCTTCAACATGTATGAAGCAGAGACTTTTGTAAGGAATCACTCACTGCCACGATAAACCACCATTGTAGTTACCAATACCAGCAGGTTGCCAGTTGGATAGGACGCACTAGACCCCACTGTACCTTTTGGTTGACATAACTTCAGGATGCTATTAAAAATTCTGTGCATGGATTCATGGAACTATTAAACATACTGCTTAGATAAGGCCAAGCATCCTACCTTGAAGTTTCATGATTCCTGAAACTGAATGGCCATTCCTCACTTTGTGCCATGGCTCATGAGGCCACTGATTTGGTTCCAAGGTGAACACAGGCCACAGAATACCAACTCGGCCCCCTTTTGGATTGGAAGGGGCTCGATCTGCTGATGTCAAGTTGGCCGAGTGAGGCTTCACTCTGTCCTGAATACAGTCAAAAGAGGAGCTGGTGGCCACAATGACTGAATTCCTGAGCACAATTTGCACATTTTCGATGGAGCTTTGTGAAGCAGGAGACACATATACTATAGCCAAAAGTCCAATGGCATTGTCTACCAGAGTGGTGTTCTCTATCTCCACGCTGTCCTCTACATGTAGCATGGCACCATAGTCATAGTTCTTGAAAGCCAAGAAGCCAGAGATACCAGTACAGTTGCCAAGTCCGCTTTCCTTATAGAGATGAAGGCCATGAAGGCTTGAGTGGGCCACATTGTCAGACCAAAGCATTTCAGGCGAGGAGCACTGGTGGCCTCGGATGTGAAAGCCAAGTCTCTCCGATCCTGCAACAACATTGCCATGAAGGTCGATGTCCTTTGCATGGTTCACTTTGATTCCTGCCACCCAAACACTGGACCATGCCGACTGTGTCACCAGAACTACAAGGTTATTAGTGAGAGAATAGGCCTGACCCTCCAAATCCATGCCATGGCCAGCAGTGCCAAACACTATATTGTCGTGTAAATGTATTCCATGACTGGCAGCTGCACGAATGCCCCCACCGCAGCTCCGGTGCAGAGTAGAAGATCTTATCCAGGACCCCACTGACACATTGGTGAATTCAATGGAGTAGTATGATGGGGATCCCAAGTTCTGAATTTCCACATTTAAAAGTTGAAGGATACCTACAAACAAAACGCGTGTCATCAGATACTTTCTTCCTCCCCGCAAAAGGCAGAAGGATGGCCCACTTTAAGACATCGAGATTGACAGATTTTTAAGGAAAACATGACAGCTTATCCTTAGCACCAGGACTATACTGGATATCATTAATTCTCACGAACAAAACATGAATCATTAGAAACATCACATTAATGTCTGAAAAGATTTCACATGCAGTTTGAAGAGTCTGGTGATAGGATGGGGAAGAGAGAGAATATTAAGAAAAGGGACAGGCTTTGGAGACAGGCACTGCTAGTTGAAAGATTCTGTGCATTTGTCTGAGAGCTGAATGCAGGAACTGGGTAAGGATGGAGGGTGTATGGGTTCCCGGCCACTCACCTCAAAGTCAAGTCTCCCTCTCTGTGTCTCAGTGATCCCAAAAAGCCATAGCCATCTCCACAAAGATATTGCATGAATGAATATAATGGCTAACTCTATAAAACATTCCAAACATTTCTTAAGAAGAGTATAAGTGCGAAAGTTACTTCTGCCCAATTGATGTCCAGAAACGTGATAGCCAATACGTGCTTCTGATTAAGGCATGATGGAAGCAATACAAACTTTTAAAATTATTTTTAAAACCCTGTAAAATCTTTTCCGTATTTTTATCCTAGCCACATTATACTCACTGTTTCATTTTCATAATAATAATATTTTTTACATCTTTTATGTCAGGAGAGAATAGTGAATTATTTAGTCTCATTGGGGGATTTTATTTGTACTGTTTTAAATAGACATTGTTAAAACACAGTATAAAATGCAGCCAGTAGGTTGATTTAAAAATACAGTGAGTATTAATGTCAGTGTATATACTCTTGGTAAAATCAATAACAACATGATTATTAGTGAATTAATATGAATTAATAATGAGGTGAATTAAATACTATATAACACCTAGCTCTCATATAAGACTCATTTATGTGCAAGGCACTGCTCTAATTCATACATACATACACATATGCTCTAATCATACACATACATATATATACACACAGTCTTAATTTTCACAAAAATCCTATGAGGTAGGTACAATTATTATCCCCATTTTACAGATAAGGAAACTGAAGCAGACAAGGGCCAACTAATAAACTGGGACTTGAACTTAGGAATGTGGATGAGACCCTGTACTATACCCCTAGGCCAGCATACTGGGGAGAGTGGAAGACTCGGTATAAGAGTAGCAACTTTGTATTAGGATTCAGGTAACTGGGCTGGAGCTATGTGCCAATAATTAGTCATGTGTTCTTTGCTAGATGGGTCACAGTTTGGGCTCCTTTTGTTTTGTTTTTTTAAGGTACTGGCAAAAGTAAACTATAAAGACATTTCTCTCTTTAAAAAATGAAGGGAGCTACTGTACATTTGAAGTTGCAATTTCACTGTTTTTTTAGCAAAAGTATTGAAGCTCAAAGGTGGTATTGATATATTCTAAATCCTCCACTTCTTCACTCCGTTTTCACTGAGGAGAAACTGAAACCCTTGTAAATCAGCTGCCGTGAAGAAGCGAGCCCTCGCGAGAAGGACAGGTTAAGTGTCTCCTTGTGGCCAGAAAACAGGATCCTGACATATGTAAACTTCCCGGTGGATAACATATCAGTATTATTTTAATTAGTGGGTTTTAAAGTGCCTTATACTTACATGGATATCATTCACAATTTTAAATTGTGCAAGATCTTTTTACTTGTGTGCGCATTAACCAATGACTAAAAATTTATCAATAGTAAACACTTAAAATGTCTTGAGCATTTAAATGAAGAATTAATCAGTGATTTTATTAACACTATTTTCTTATTTTTCCTTAGGAAAATCACAATTCTGGAAAATGTTCTAGCAAGTTAAACTTGCTGGGTATTATTAGCCAGAAGGAGGAGAATGATGGAGCCCTCCAGCAGAAAAGTAGGACTGGCAAGTCCTGGCCTGCTTTTCTGCCCTGTAACCAGTCAACACCCCTGCCTGGCAAGCCTGATCTACTCCTACCTCATCTAGGCTCTGGACATATTATGGAAAAATGCAAGGGTTCTTAATGCAGTGTAGAAACCTGAATTGAATACTGAAACAGAAAAAAGACATTAGTGGAAAAACTGGTAAAAGTTGAAAAATGTCTTGAGTTTAGTTAATGATAAGATACCAATGTTAATTTCTTGATTTTGACAAATGTGTCCGTGGTATGTCAGCTATTAATAGAAAAAACTATGTGAAAGGTGTACAGGAACTCTCTATACTATCTTGGCAACTTTCCTGTAAATCCAAAATTAAAGTATATTTAATAAGGTATAAAAGTATATTTAATAAGGATTTCAGAGTCATTCTTGAATCTGCCACTTACTAGTTAGTTAACTTTTCTTATTCTTCATTAATTTTTCATTCATATTTATTGAGCATCTAAGACACAGCAGTCATCATACTAGAAAAACAGAGATGACAGAACCATTCTTACCCCCAAGGAGTTCACAAGCTCACGAAGGAGTTAGACAAATAAACAGGCAATTGTATTATGGATTCTGTTTCCTATAATAGGAAGATAAAATATGTTTCTCATGGGGATATTAGAATTAAATAAGATAAAATTTTCACTGTGTAAAAAACAACACAGTTTTGGGTCCATAAGAATCATAAAATACAGTTTCTCTTTCCCTTCCCAAGGGGATGATTTAAAATGCTTTAGATCAGCAATGGCAGAGGTTTAGGATCAGGTCAGTCTTGCTGCTGGCTCGGCTCTGGCTTAGCTGTAAGAATTGGCCTTCTGTCCTGTTCCTGTGATCATGCTCCAGTCTGGCCTGCAGTTTCAGTCTACTGGGCCCGGTCTTGCTTCCCCCTCCCTAATTCTCTACCTTCATCAGCTGCAGACTGATCTCGTTTTACAAGACCAGGACCCAGCCTTTGTCTCAGTCTTCTAGAGCAGAGTTCCTCAACCTCAACACCATTGACATTTTAAGATAGATATTTCTCTCTTGTGGGTGGCTGTCCTGTGCACCGCAGGATGTTTGGTATCCACTAGATGCCAGAAGCTCCCCCAAGCTGTGACACATAAAAATGTCACCAGATATTGCCAAATGTCCCCTGACAGGTAAAATCACCTCTGGTAAGAATTTGTGGAACTAGAATTTATGGAGAGAGAGCTTGCTCTATGGACTAGAAATCCTGAACTTTTGATTTAAGGTCCAAACACTGTCCTTTAACAAACTGGTGAAATAGTTGTGTCATGCCATGCACAACTATTTGGAAAGTGTTAGATCTTTTATTCCAGGACTTCTCTGAGCCTTTATTATATTCATGTACATAGTGACTTTCTAAGATGGAGATACTGTGACAGCCACTCCCAAACTATTTGATCAGGAAACAACTTTGGAATAATGTTTAAGGAATACAAGTTTAAGAAATGAGGTCCTAATCAAATAATTTTGCAGCATTCCAAAAGGGCGAAAGCTTGAAAGAAACAAGAAAGATTGAACGGATCCTTAAAGCAGTCTAGAATATGGAAATCATTTTTATTTAAATTTATGCTATTAATTTATAGCATGAACTAATGCCTGCCATCAGATATAGCATGCTACTGGGAAAGAGTAATAGAAATTCAGGAAAGGGATAAAATTCAAGTGGTCATTAAATCATCTATAATTTCAAAGCAGAGGAAATTTCACATCTGCTGAAGTTGTTTCTTTGAGGTAAAAATGTGCATATGTGCTGATCGCTAGTATATTATTTTAACATCACACTGATAATTAAGCACAGATTAGGACTGAAAATTCATAGCTTCTTGGAGCACAAAGGAACTATCTAATTTGGACATTTTGGTTTATAAATGAAAATTCTCACAGTTGGAATCTCTGAGGGCCCCAGATGAATAGGCCCCAATTGGTAATGCTTAGTCACTTACAATTTCATTTACCTGAAAATTCTTCTCTGTTGGACTTCCTGAAGGAGCCCACAAGTAGTCTCCCCCTACATGAAGTGTCAGGCCGAATTTGTATATTGCGGGTCAACAGTCCAACCTCAGCAGCCAAACGAATGCGTCGGCCATCCTCCATGATGTGGACACTTCCTGGGACAACAGGAGTTGGGAGGCAAAAAAAAAAAAAAACTTTGAAGATCTATTTCAGAAATTGCCGGCTGGGGACCCAGCAAACCTGACAAATGAAAACACTCCTTTCCCCTTGCAAGTCCTACCCACATTAAGGTCTGCTTTTCCTCGGGCATTCTCCACAAAGGTCAGCTGAGAAATGAAAAACCTGTTCACTTTCCTCTCTTTGGGATGAGAGTGAGAGTATTTGAGCAAGAATTCATTTCTTCTCAATAACTGTGGGTACTGGGACAGGCCACTGTGCAGGGTAGTCAGTGCAGGCCTGTCCAATTAGTAGGGTCCCCAACCTTCCCTAAATAAGTCATTGTGAGACTTCAGTGTTTGGTTGTACATTGTCCATAGACCTCTTTCATGTCAGTGAAAGATCCCAGATCAACTGAGGAAGTGACATAGCAAAAGCAGTAACATGTAAGAGTAAAAGAGAAAGGAGAAGCAGCGCCACACGGCAGCAGCAGCAGCAGCCTCTCACTGTGGGTCTTCAGCTCACCCCCGTCTGAGCCGCTTCCAGAGTAGTGGGAACCGAAGCTAGTTTGTTTCACTGCCCGCCATTTGCATTTCACCTTGGATCTTATTGGCAAGGCTTGCTGAAAATTTCTCTTTTCTCTGTCACTTTTTAAAAAAGAAATCATCACTGGAACTATGATGTAGACACAGCTTTAGACAGTCCTGGTGAAAATATGTACTTCCCTCTCACATGTCAGAGACAAAAATATATTGTCAATCCCCTTTATTTCCATGGTTTGTCACCGATTAGCTATACCTCCTGGGTTAGATTTATTTATTAGGTCGAACCAGGAAGATTATTGTTATTCATTACATATGTGCAGTACATTTTAACTGGTATAAGTGTATAAAAATATTCAATACCTTTTAAAAAAATGGCATTGACTTTTTTTCTTTTTTTCCAGTAATAGTAATAGTAGTAGTCAACACATAAAATGTACTTCATGTCAGGAAGAATACTTTTCTAAATATGGAAAACAAAGTCATTATTTACAATAATTACCATATTCTAAGGGATTGTGTAATTCATTGTGCCAGGAAATAAACTGGAGACTCAGTGTCCGTGAGTTTTATTCTGGCTTAGCCACAAAACTGCCAGTGACCTTGAATAAGATTCTCAATTCTTCTGTTCTTAGACTTGCCATTGTAAATAAAAAGCAAAAAAAAAAAAAAAATTATTTTATATGTAGGTATTCTTCAAAAATTAGGCAATAAAAGTAATGAAGGACTAGAGACAAAGCCATCTAGGATGAGCCTAGAGCAGTAGTAGGGTATTATCCTTCCCCTTGGAATGGCAATCCGATCTAAGGTCACTAAGGCAGGTTGCTGAACAGGTTCTTCCCAGCTCATTCACTTCCCTTAACCAGCAAATCAAAGCCTTACCAATGTGCCGGTGTTTGAGCCGTTCATGAATGCTAACATGGTGGCCTTTGGCTTCTTTCACAGTGAGGACCTCTGCCTCGTGAGGCTCATAAGAAGAAGAGGTGAGGACAATTTTGTCATGGGGTCGCCAATCCACTGCATCCTCTACTATAATTCTGTAACAGCATAAAAACGGCATCAAACATACTGAAAGCGCAACACAGATCACCTATGATCACCACAGATCATCTATGTCTAGAGAGAGGAAAGGAGATCCACTGAGACCAACAAATCCCACCAGGGAGAATGAGGTAGAAATATTAAGACATGGCAGTGAAAAGGGGCTTTTGTGAAAAGTTTCATGCTCATAGAGTCAGTTTTCTGGCTCACAAATGTATACATTACAGGAAAAGCAAAGATATTCCATGGCCATGAAATACAAGGCAAAGGAACAAGAAATGGTAAAAGTTCTAGAGTTTAGTATATGCATCTACACATGGTTTTCTATAATAGCAACCCTCCTGGATTGGCAAACAGTTTGAATAACAAAGGGATGTCAGAAGAGATCTTTTCTCTAATTTTCTGAAGACCTATCATGCCATTTTTGGACCATTTATCATCATGCATTAAGGCTCCAACCTTCATGGTCAGACAGATACAAATGTGAACCCTAGAGGTGTCACTTACTAGCTGTGTGACCTTGAGAAGTCACTTAACTCTTCTCACTTCATATCTTCATCTGAAAAGCACAATATTTATACCTTCTCTGCAACCTCTCAGCCTTATTGTGGGGACTAATGAGTGTGTATTCCTTGAGTGTGTTAAGTTCCAAGCACTGTGCTTTCATCACGTTATGAAACAATGAAACAATGAGGGATTTGTTCATTTGGGTCTTTTTTTTTTAAACTCACATTTAATAAAATTTCTGTTTAGTGTGTCACTGCCGCCTAGCTTTTCCTAGTGAATATGACTGTTTTATTCTCCAGTCATTACCAACTTCAACAGCATGTGTTTATTTAAATAACCTGCCTCTTTACCTAATGTCAAAACTTTAGCAAGCTCTACCACTAAATGTTCATCCAGGCAACAATGTCCATGTGTAGGGCATTCAATTATGCAATGTATATTGACTGAGCAAATGATACGCACCAGACACTATATTAGGTGCTAGAGATATAATGGTAAATAAAACAATTTGTATTAAAAAAAACTTAAATTTTATCTAGCAGACATCCTTAAAGAGTCTACTATATGGGTGGAAGATTCACAGATGTTTGGTATATAATACTAACCCCTTAAAAATAAGTAAATAAATTAAAGCTGGTCATTTGTGGGCCAATAGTATGAGTCTGTTATAAACCAAAGATTATAATTAATTCAAATCTGTACACGTAAGGGTGGAGAGAAAGAGAGAGAATTATAGAGAAAAAAAAGCCTACTACCAATTGACATAATTTTAATGAAAGAATTTAGAGTCTTAGCTCTGTTCCTGATTTGCTATGACTTTCCAGGAAACACAGCTATAGAATATTAATGCAACTGCTAGCTTTTAAAGACAGGGAAACTAAGTTCCAAAGAGATTAAATAACACAAAACTCAAGATTAGGTAAACAAATGGAACCAGAGATTGAATTAGGCCAAAGGAAGATGGTTTATCAAGTCCAGAGTTCTTTCCACTAAATAACCTCACCTTGTCTGTTTGATTCTTAGTTCTCGCCTGCTAAATGGTAATAGGAAAACAGTATTCCCACATTCCACAATTATAAAATTATAAAAAGTCTATGTCTCATGCAATGGAATACTATGCAGCCATTTTAAGAGTATCTCATAGTAGAGCATTGAATTATAAGGAATTATGTTCATGATGTATTGATTTAAAAAACAAGACATAAAAGAACATGCCTCATTTTTAATAAAAATAAGATATGTACATAAAATAGAAGACAGGAAAGAGGCATGTTAAAATGTTAGCCTATCTATGGGTTTTCACAGAACCACTATTCATAAAATAGATCAATTATATACAAATAAATTCAGATCTCTAATTCTATTGGTGAAAATTCATGAAAAGGTCCACGTGAAACATACTCATATCACAATATAATAGAAAGGCTTATTAAACTGACTTTCAACAAAAGGAAGGTTGTAGAGCAATGTTTAAAGAAATGGCTTGTATAAAATCTGTGGTTCAGTTAACACTGAATCAACTTGCCAGATTTGCTAATGTCCTATGGTTGTATAAGATGTTGTCATCAGAGAACACTGAGTGAAGGATATATGTGAACTCTATCTACCATTTTTGCAACTTCTTGTGAGTCTTAAATTATTTAAAAATTTTTTTAAATATTTTTTAAAAGATGGGATATCCATAAAGTGAATACACTATGTATTTTAATTACACATCATTTGTATACACTCATTAAAGTACTCTTCCTCAGGACTGATATTAAGAAATTTTGTTTTTAATATTTGTAATGTGTATAACACAAGCAATGGAATCAAACAAACCAGGGTAAAAATCTAGCCTCAGGAACTTCTAGCTTTATGAACTTAGAAAATTTATTTAACTTCTCCAGTCTCAGTTTTCATATCCGTAAAATGCAGATAATAATACCTAACTTGGAGCATTGAGAGATTTAAATGAGATAATGTATGTAAAATGCTTGGTAGAGGCCTGACATAGAGCAAGCCTACATGATAAGAACTCAATAAATGGTAGCTAGTTAATGACTATGGATAGTTTTAATTAATAAAATTGAGTTTCTTTGAAAATAGCCTGTAGCTCAGTCTCTGAATGAGGTTTTTTAACACATTCTTATAAGAAAAATCCATTCATATGGCTCCTGCCAAATTCCAACTTGCTAACCTTTTAGTTATAATTAAAGTTTCTTATTGATCCCTGTTAGAAATGCCTACTTCACGGATCCTTTTGGTATCAGAAAGGCACTTCAAACTCAAATTATCAAATCTGAATTTATAATCATTGCCCCAAACTTAGTCCTCTTCTAGTGAATGATACCGCCATCCATCGATACAAATCAGAAACCAAGAAAGCACCTCGTATCCAATGTGTCTTATAGATTTTATCTTCTGCCTTTAAATCTGTCTGCTTTTCTCCATTGTTCTTGCAGCTCCTGACTGTAAGTTATATTGTCTTTTGCTGGAAGCTCCTGATTGGCATCCCGGGATCCATGTTAGACCTCTCCTGTTGTCCACATTGTGCCTACAATTATGTTTTTAGATGCACAAGCATGATTATAAATGCTACCTCCCACCCACACCACCTCCTTACAAACCTACAACAGCTTCATAATGCTCTTAGGGTAAAACTTAAATTCTTAATATTACCAATGAATATGGCCCTGAGCTGGAGCTACTCCTTGGAACCCTGTCATGCTCGGCCCCCACTCTCCGTGTCATCCACCACAGTATTCATTCGTCCCTCGTGCTCTCCGTTCTCCCACCCACCACAGAATCACCTCTCTGCCCACCCTCTGCTTCTCAATCACCTTTTATGCTGACTCCTCCACTATCACCTTCTAAAAAGTTAAGAGTGGCCCCAATCTCATTCCCAGCCTCCAAATTTCCCCTCTACCTATGTCTTCCTGATTAGGGACATCACCCACTTCCAAGATGACTCCTTCCGAGCCCTAAGTTCTGCATCTAATTGTCTTCTTGACATCTCTGTTTGGTATCTCCAACTTAGCATGTTCCTGCCACCTCTACCCTGATAAACCTGTTCCCTTCCCAGTCTTCCCATCTGAGTGCATGCTTCCACCATTGACCAGTTTGCTCAATCAAAACGTGCAGCATTCTGCCCTCACCTCACCATGCAATAGTCAGCATGGCCAACTCTTCTCTCCATTTCCTCTGCCCCCTCCATTGTCCTGGTTCCTGTGATTTCTGGCCTCAACTGGCCTCCCAGCAGCCAGAGACTTTTTAAAACACAAATCAGATTCTATCGCTCTCCTACATAAAACCATTCAGTGATTTCCCCTCTGACCTCTCATACCAGAACAAGGCCCTATGTAACTTGGCACTTGTCACGTCACACAGCTCTGCTCTCTGCTCACTCAGCCTAAGCTATAATGACCTGTCCCACCTCTGCCCCACTCCACACACAGGCCAGCTGGCTCCCTCCCATCCATGAGGTCGTAGCTCAAATTTCCATTCCCCGGAGAGATTTTCCCTGTCCATTCAATCTACCCCTCACATTCTCCATCCCAGCTATTTTTGATCATACTATCCTATTGATTTCATTGCTGGCATATTTTATAATCTCCAACTACGTCATTTTATTTCTGTATTTGCTTGTTTATTGTCTATCTCTCCACATGAAGATCTAAGCTCCCAGAGGACAGCAATCTCTTCTAGTTTGCCTGTATGTCCCTAATGCTTACAACTAGACCTGGAACATAGTAAGTATCACTCAGCAAACACTGAATAATCGCATGCTACCTGCTCTGTCTGGAATGCTGTTTCCACACATATTCCACTTTACTTAATTAAAACCCATTCCTCTTTCAGTTCCCACCTCTGCAATCATCTTGAAGGAAGCCTTCTCTAAACTTCCCTGAATTCCCCAAGTTGCCGTGTTCATGTGTTTTCAGAATCCTATATACCCCTCCCTCACAGAATCTATCACATATGTAATTTGTATTTACTCAGTATTTCTTTGATTAACATCTGAAGGCAGAGGCCATGTCAGTTTTTACTTGTTATTGTATCTCCAGGTCATAGCCTGATGCTTGACATAGGATAAGCATGTGTGAAAATCATGTCGAATAAATAAATAAATAATTTAAAATAACTACAAAGGTAATACCCACTCTATGAAGAAATTCTGTACATAGAAAAGCACACGAAAGCAGTTACTACCTATCATTTCACCATAGAGATTCTTACTGCACTGTATGCCCTTCCAGACATTTCTCTCTCCAAAAACATGCATGCATAGATATTTTTAATTAATTTACTTTACATACAAAACTGGGCTAATATAGAATACGAATTCCCACCTGAATGTGAATATATCTTCCCCTTTGTCAACTCGAAATTCATTCTTTTTCATCTTTGCCAATTTAAAATTTTAAAATGGTATTTCATTACACTTTCAATTAACATTTATTCTAGTAAAGAACACCTTTTCTTTATGCTTATTAGTTAGATGTATGTC